GTAGAAGCCTTTGACGATCTTAGTGCTGGTGAAGTGGATGATGATATGAGTGAATGATGATTATGAAGCCTACAAAATCCTTTGGGATTTCATTTTTTGACCTTTGTTTATCCAAAATGAGCTTCTTCTGTAATTTTGACAAGAGTTATCCTCCTAATGAATCAGAACTATATAAACCCATTGCCCAAGTTGCAAACTTCTGTGGTTTCATTCTTTCACCAAAAAAAAAATAGAAAAAAGAAAAATTTAGTTAGAATTCCAAATTTGGTTAGACATGCATAGAATTTTATGTTTCTGAGTTTTTTTTTTTTTTTTTTTTTACGGGTCTAATTTTAATATTTAAAAGTATAGAAATTAAATTTTATTTTTCATTCGACCATATAAATTGCTTATAAGTTTTTTTACGGGTTGATCAAATCCACGAGACTAATTCTAATATGTACCATCATCGAAATTAAATTTTATTTTTCTTCAACCATAGAAATTAAAATTTTAATTTTAAATTTTCTACCTCTATTCAATCTCATAATTGGGCATACCTCTCTTCTACAAAGTATGATTGAGGGACAACATAGATGAATAATTCCTCGAATAGTTATCCCTTCTATCCCTAATCTAGGTTTGAACACAGTGTTTCTACCATTTAAGCTTTTTTTAAAAAAAAGACTGCTCTTGCCCTAGAACAGAAAATATGGATATCAAGAGCTCAAACTCTATACGTCTCACTTGCAAAAAACTAACCCTAAAAAATAAAGATGGAGATGCAAGAAATCATACCCTAAAAAATAAAGATGGAGATGCAAGAAATAATACCCTGTACCTTTCGCATACAAAGCGAGCGCTATACTATTTAAGCTACATCTCTTTTTTATTTAGGAGAATTTTAAAATATAACCAAATATATATATATATATATATATATATATATAATAACCGCTCTAACCCTAGAACAAAAAAGATGGAGATCCCGATATCCATCCTATACCTCTTAACATGTAAAACGCTAACCCTAGAAAAAAAAAGATGGAGATGGTATCAAATCTTATACCTCTTGCATGCAAAGTGAGCGTTCCACCATTCAAGCTACATCCCCTTTTTGTATAGGGTCATTTTTAAAAATCTAAGCAACAATATATATATATATATATATATAACATCTCTAACCCTAGAACAAAAAAGATGTAGATGGAAGATCAAATCCTATACCTCCCACATGCAGAACGCTAACCCTAGAAAAGAAAGATCAAGATGGAGAATGCAGGGTATCAAACTCTGTATCTCTCGCATACAAAGCGAGCATTCTACCATTTGAGCTACATCCCCTTTTTGTTTAAGGGCATGTTTGAAAATCTAAAGAAAAAAAATATATATTAAAAAAAAGACGACTCTAACCCTAGACCAAAAAAAAAATGGAGATCCCGAAATCAAACCCTATACCTATCAGAGGCTAACCCTAAAAAAAGAGTTATTAGGAATTGACTAAATGACTATCCAAATTTATACCTTTCTATTAAAACAAACCTAATAGAAAATGATTCACCATGACATACATCATATACATTTGTCACTTTCTAAATGTTTATTTCTATGACAAAAATAATTTTTTATTAGTTTCTTTTAGGATATATATATATATATATATATATATATATATATATATATACACATACAATGGTATAAAACAACCAATCATATTTGTATCAACTTCTTTGAATAATGTAAGTAGATAAACTTCTCTCGTGTGTTGACTTAGCCAATAATTTGACACATTATTCCAACTCCTAACCCCTCGCACAAGGAATTCACAAACAAACACCCAAATGCAAATCAACGCACAAAAGTAGGGTAATCACCAACCAACACCAACATTTTCAAGCTCTATATAATGGGAGAATCTCATGAGCTCTTCACCATCACATTCAAATTCTCCTCTTCTCCTTCACAACATATTTTCTTCTCCCAATCTCTTAACAAAAACTCACAATGGCAAGCCAACAAGACATTAGCCACAGCGTCGGCGAGGCCGTCGGCCAAGCTCAGGTAGTTTACCGCAACCAAATCGATATCAAACGCAGCCGTTTAGAACATATTATATATTTCAATTATTGTGTCAGGTGAAGAAGGATGAGGTCATCAACCAAGCAGCTAATTCAGCTCAAGAAGCAAAAGACAGCGCATCTACTACCCTTGATCAATCCTCAGCTGCCCAAACTGCCTCTGACCTCAAGGACCAAGCTGCAAATTTCCTTCAACAGGCAAATTTGTTATTGGAAAAAACTATATTTTAAAAAATTTGCAAATGGGTCCTTACAAAATTGCTTATTTATTTATTTTGATATGGTTTAGACTGGAGAGCAAGTGAAGAACATGGCTCAAGGAGCAGCTGAGGCAGTGAAAAACACTCTTGGGATGAACACTGATAGCAGTTCTAACGCCGCCGCCAACACCAACAACCCTACCAACACTCCATCCCCTACAATCTAAGAAATCAAATTTATTATTATTATTATTATTATTATTATTATTTTGGTATTTTTAATTTGGTTTCTGTACAATAATAATTAAAGGAAGAGTGTGATGTGGATCCCCTTCCTTTTTTAATAATAATTATTATTTTTTCTTTTTGTAGCGTAATTCAACCCGTTAAATTTATTTACGCTTTAAAATTTTTACAAAGTTAAAGGGTAATAATTATCTCGAAATAGATACATGCAACACTTTTTTGTATGATATAAAATATTTGATATCAAAATTAGACCTACTTTAGACAAAGTCATGTGCAAAGTAACTCAAATCATCGCGAGATTTATCTTAAAAGTTGCATCACATTCCATACCATTTTAAAATGGTGACTTAGAGACAGAAAAAGATTGCAGTAGATCGGTTTTCCCTCGACGCTTTCTATTTGATTGTATTGGAAGACCAATAAATTGAGATTTTCCTATTGGGCTAGATCATTTCGTAGCAAACGGATCATTTTTTATGAAGAGAATGATTCAGTTAATCTTTACTTTTTAAGTCAAAGTAAATGATCGAGAAAACGTAGATTTTAAGCTAGAACGTAACGAGTGGCACGATAACAAGTATGGTGGGGATGATGGATGCATGCATGGAAACGATTACCAATGCAAAAGAGAAATCCTTTAAGACTTTGGCCTTTCTATTTTCTTTCTCTTTCACGCACACAGATTGTAGTTGCTGTTTTTAAGAGTATGAGATAGTAAAGGCGTAGGTAGAGAGAAAACACAAGTTAGTGGAGGACTTTGGATAGAGAGAAAGAAATTAGGGTTATGGTAAAGCTATCCTTGTGGATCTCGGGTTAGGAGTCGGTAATTTTCTATTACAATGACTGTGTGATGCTTCGTGCTTAGGATTTAGAATGATTCGAATGCACAATGATTATTGGAGATATTTCATCCTAAGTCATTATCGATCATGCATACAGTCGGATTTGGTTTTTGTTTCATCCTAAGTCATTGTCAGTCATGCATACAGTCATCCTAAGTTATTCGGATTTGCTCAATTAATGGATGAGCGCCCTAGAACATAAAAGAAAAGACTTTTCTAAAGTGGAATTCATGTCAATATTTAAATTCTACCCCTTTAAAGAAATACTATTGGATCTTTTTCAAAGGCCTATACATTTTGTTCTAAGAGGTCACCAAATTGGAAGGAAGTTGTAATCCAAACTCATTTTAACCTTAGAGTTGTTAGGATTGAGTTAAGCATTTTTGAAGCATCAAAAGGTGGAGATGGGTTAGATAGGTTCAAGTATGAAATTAGGAATAGGGAAAGAGAGAGTGGGTGGGAAGCAAAGAGACGGAAAGAAAAAGAAAGTTGATAGGGAGAGAAGCAAAAAAGATGGTCAAAATGAAGCCTTCAAAGACTACACTTAGCTCATTCCAACACACAAAAATATATAAGTATCATCATCATCTCTTCTCCTCCATCTTCTCATCTTTATTCAAACTCACCATTATAATGCTTCCCTCTTTTCTTTCCAAAAATATAAACCCCATCTTTAATTACTTTTTGTAAAAAGATTAATCTCATTTAGTTACAAGTAATTACTACTAACACCAACTTTTAGAAACAAAAAATAAAATAAAATAAAATAAAATAAAAGAGAAAGTTGATGGATGGGACCTTAAACTTTGCTGCAAATGGGTTATGAAGAAGCATGGTCAAAATGAAATGCTTTTGATTATTATTATTATTATTTTCCTTTGAGTTTTTAATTAATAATAATTTTGTAAAATAAAATTAAAATAGAAAAAGGTGGGAGAATATTTGTATTCTCTTTCCCTTTTGGGGTGGGACATTCCAATGTCGGGAGGATGTCCCCTTCAGCTTAGCTTTGGAGTTTGGACTCAAGCTAACTCTTCCTTATCTCTTCCTATATGCTTTTTCATACTTTAATTACACTCTTTAATCTTATAAACCCTCCTCCCATCTAAATATACTTCAATTATTAACATATTTTTAAGTTTTTAGCTTAAAATCTCACCCTCCTAAACACTAACTAATCCCTAAAAACTTAACTAATCTAAACCAAATTTCTCTTCCGTGGATATGGAACTTTCATCTAACAACTATCATGCTTAAAAAATGCCTATAAAATTTTTTTAAAAAAAATCAAAAGTTTTTACTAGGGACAGAAACCATAAAAATATTTTTTGAATGTGGTATTAATAGTTTCAGTATTTGTGAATGTTTTAAACGTTAGTCTTTAATATTTTATAGTTGGAAGAGATATTTTTTTAGATAAATTATAAAATTGATGGAGTAAAAAGAGGTTTCCATGATGTGGTCAATGAATTGAGCATTAAAGTTTGGTGATTTCCACAAAGGAAACTAAATAGAATCATTTCAAAAGGGATTTCCATTGCATGCATGCAAGCAAGCAAGGCCGTAAATCAATAAAGCAATTTGGTTCAATATTCTTTTGAAATCCACAGTTTGAATTATTATTATTTGCTTTAATTTCTTTACCAAGTTATTGTTTTTATTATATTTCTTCATTTATTTTTCGGCTATATAAACCACCCCCTCCATTTCCTTCTTCCATCACTCGCCTCCCTCTGCTTCACTTAGCACCGCCGTAAGAATCCCTGCTTAATTCTTTTTTTTTTTTTTTTTTTTTTTTTTTTTTTTTTTTTTTTTTTTTTTTTTTTTTTTTTTTTTTTTTTTTT